TTTCAAATCATCTCCTGTTATCCCTTAGTTGATGCATGTGAAAGTGCAGGAGCATTCTTTCTGTGCCTCTTGATCCCAATTCCATGTGGCAAGGGGCATTTAAATGATGAGAATTGCTTTTAAAAGCAAAGTTGATGTACTTGAATTCTATTCAATTAGTCATTATTTTTCGACTTGCTTGAAAATTTAGCTGAGGTTAATCGTGGAAGTTGCTTTCCAGTCATGCTGCATGTGGTGTAATGATCTTTATATGGATGTTGCCTGTCCAAGCAAATCCTCTCATGAAGAGTTATATGTTTTGGAGCTATTCTATCTTTCTTTGAAGTTTGAATACCTCTTACCAATGCAATTTTTTTTTTTTTTTTATTCGTGTGGAACTTGTTTACCCTTAATTAGTTTCTTAATTTTAACCTGCAGTTTCAGGCATTTGACTTTCTGAGAACTTTGAGAAACGAACCATTCTTGCAGCTTTTCCATTCTCTATATGTATATCCTTTAACTGTGAGCTTGAGTCAGAAAAGGAATCTATTCGTAAGAGTTGAGCTAAGAAAGGATGATGCAGATGTTCATAGGCAACCTTTAGAGGTAAAATTGTTGAGTGATACCTTGCACTATGATTTTTAAACTCGTCTTATTGTTCTTTCTGTGCTACTGATATGACTAGGCAATGTATCCAGGGGAACCTGGTTTATCACTTCAGAAGTGAGCTCACACGCAAGTTGCTGTTGGTGCTCGGGTGGCCTGCTACCATGATGAAATTAAAGTTTCTTCCTGCTGTTTGGACACAATTGCATCACCTTCTATTCACTTTCTTCCATGTTGATCTTCAAATGAAACTAGAAGCTCCAAAACCAGTGAGTTCAATGAGATCCTTTTTTCTTTTCCTTACATTTGAAATAATACAAAATCATCTGAACCTCGTCTTAGTGGTTGTATACTCGTTGGTTAGTGGTTTGGCCTGTTTTGCACTCCTCTCATTCTATCTTTCATTGCAATCCCAAGTAGTTCTGTTCTTTTACTTGGCAAGTAGTAATTGAATATGCAGCGCTTCCATTGTCCACCCATGCACACTATGCAACTGCCTTTATGTTTGTCATCTTTTGCTTTGTTTCTTTCCTTGATGATTTATTAACTTACATTATTTGTTCTGCTGCTGGAGTGATTGGTATGGTAGTTCATGGTATTGAAAATAAACAGGGGGCAGAAATATAATCACCTATTCAGTATTCTAGTGGTTTGTTAAGTTAATGTTATAATTTCAATTGTCAGGTTACTTTCCTGGTTTATGTTGTGGGTACTTAGATGATATCAATGTGAGTCTTCATTCACCTTACAGTGAAATGCTATCTAGTTTATTCGGATAAGTTTGACAAAATCTTATTAAAAACAACAGAGGTGGTATTTAACATCAAGAACTCTCATTACCTAAGCTTAGTGTATGAAGTTATTGAATCATAAAAATCATATATGATTGTTTCTAGTTTATACCTCAAGAGATTTAATATTTTGGTACAGGTCACACTTGAGTAGGATATAGAGAAGGGTTGAATTGGGAACAATTTTATTTATCCTTTAGCGTTTTTTTCTAGAGCAGTTGCAATTAAGATTTGGTAATGAGACTAATAATTATCTGTACCAGATAATGACTTTAGCTTTTAATTTATTCCCCATCCCCTAAAATTTAATAACATAAAAATAAACTTGAACTTTATACTCCACCCAAACTTGAACTTTTATTTTTGGTTAGCATAGGAGTTGTATTCACATGTTTCGACTCATTTTATCGACAAGTCTGATTTATATTAGTATATGGTTTGCATAAACGAAAGTATTCGTCGAAGAATCTCTATATCACACTACGTGATTGTGTTTGGCAGAAGTGATTTATAAGTATTTTCAGTGCATCATTACCTTTAGTAGCGCTATCCAGCATGCTATTTCAAGCGCCTGAGCAGCTTCATCAATAATAACC